TTGCAACATGCAGAATTTGGAGGCTTGGCCTATGGGAGTCCAATAGTGGAGGTTAGCAAGCACTGAGATGGGTACGAGTGGTGGAAATCCAATTGTGGAAAAAGTTTCACTGTTGTATTTCAATGGAGTTAGAGGTCAGAACTCTACATAGGGAGCTTTTCCATGGGGCTGTACTGAAGAGATGTTGCAACCTGTGGTCCACAAACTGTCACCAGACTACAGCTCCCATCATCCTTGACCACTGACCACTCTGGGAGTTGCGGTCCAAGATTTGAAGTGTCACAGGTTAGCCAAGCTGACTGTGTTGTGATAGGAACATGTGTTTCCTCTTTTTCTGTGACAGCTATTTACACAAATTAAAACATAGGTGCACTTTCAGAAGCAATCTTGTATTATCCAGATTTCCATAGCATATACTGTATCCCCTGTTGAACCCAGAACAATTTGCATACCGGTGAAATAGATATTTCTAAGAGTATCACCATTTGATGCATTACAACTTAATCTGTCTGATAAAATGGGTGTGTTGCCCTTTCCTAACATAGGAGTGTGTGCGTGTTTCTTTTCCCCAGCACCCTCCCATCTGTGCAGGAAGCATTAAATGTGTTATACAGACAAGCTTTTAATCAGAGTCCAATGTATGAGCTCAGCCAGCAATGTGAATGCTAGTCCTTTTGGGCGAAAAACAACAAAGCATCTTCTTAGTTGGTATGGAAAGGAGATTACTGTTACCTCAATTATCTTGAGTTCATACTCATGCTGTAAATGTAAAACCTGTTCCCAGTGAGATGTGTATGCATGTGTGTCTCACAGACATTTGAAGTTCATTAATATACAAGTTGTAATGAGAAATCCTTGTGAGGACAGAAGCACTTGGAAATGTGGGGGAGGGGGGAACCTGTATCTGATCCATAGACTTGATTTTCAAGAATCGCTATGGCTTTGAATTGCTTCTTTCCTGTGCAAAGCCTTTCAGTGGAATTTTGCTCTCTTGTGTCTTGCAGAATAAGGTGAAAAATGATATTGTTCATTTTTAATTATACAATACTCTGGGGGGAGGAATAGAGCAATTTTTGGGTTGCAGTTTTATTCTGAAGTTCTAGGCATGCATACTGGAAAGAAAGTCCCATTGAACTTGCTTCCAAGTAAAAATTCTCAGGATCAGTTTCCAATCAACTTATTGCAGTAATGAATGTGCAGCAGTTCTTTTCTCTGCGCTTCAGGTTTCCTCCAGTGTCCACAGATACTATTTTCGATGTCATTTGAATCAACGTATTGTGATTTTTGACATCCTTGTTAAGGTTTGCTTCACTCTGATTCATCAAATAGGGATCAATCTTCACATTTAAAAATGACTTTATTCTAAATACAAGAGAACTGTCTGTTATGAACCAGCCTAGCATTTTCCTTGGTCTTGTTGGCTACAGTGGGGGTTTTTAAAGGACAGTTGTTTGAAAATAGGAGGGCCTGGCTTAGTGGCAGAGCATATCCTTTGCATGCCTACAGACAGTCCCATGTCATTCCCTGGCCTCTTTTGATAAAAAGATCCTAGGTAATGAATGGGCTTGTTGAAGTCTTTGGCCTGGGGCCTCAGAGACAGGCTGCCAATCAGATGAGACAGAAGTGTGGCCTCATGGTATTAGGCAAGTTCAGATGCTACACCTATTCTATCTAATCAGAAAAACTGGTACATGGCTGAAAACAATGAGGGTTGTCAGCACCAATTCTCAGCTAAAACCTCTCCAGAGCCTCATCAGACCTTGGGGGCTGAATCCATCCTCACTTAGAGAGAGTCCCTCCATCTGATGCAGCTACTCACTAGCAACAATGAGACGCTCAATGTAGATACAAACCCACATGTTAACTATGTTTCCTTAGGAACTCAGCCAAACTATTACTGTATAGGGTTTCTCACCTGTGCATTTTCCAATGTGATATATGTTGTCTTCATCTGCCAACAGTACCCTTCTGGCACTTACAACCTCCTTCTAAGAGAATAAATGGATACAAGTCAGTGGGTGATCATTTCAATCCCTGAGGACTTTCTAAAGCAAAACAAGCAAAGAGGTTCAGAAGTAACTGACAACAAATTGTGTGGTATGAGGTAAAACCCTATCTGAAGAAGTGTGCATGCACACGAAAGCTCATACCAAGAACAAACTTAGTTGGTCTCTAAGGTGCTACTGGACAATTTTTTATTTTTTTATATATTTCGACTACGTCATACCAACACGGCTACCTACCTGAATTAAAGGCTAGGTTAATGGTATCGGACCTTGGCAAAGTTATTGTAAATCTACTACTTAATGGCAGCTAAAACGCTAAGTGGGAGAAGACAATTGCTTTATCACTTTCTGAATATATTGGCAGAATATGAAATATTGCAAGTTTATTAAAACTAACTGCAGAAGTTTAACAAATGGAGGAAAGGTGGTATAAAACTAATTAATTAATGGGGTAGGGTAGGGTGGGATAGAGGCCCCCCCTGCACCTTTAATAGTTGTGTACAGCTGGGTGTATCATGCAAACTACAACTGCTGAAATTCCCTCTTCTAAACTATTAAAGGTGCAGGAGTCCCTATCCTCTTCTGCTTCTACCCAGCCTGATGGAACCCCAATTTCTATCTTTTGTTGTATATTTTGAAATTAACCATTTGTCTACTTTGTGGTCCAGTTACCTCAAATAAGCAGTTAGTTTCACAATTGCTTCACTTATAGTAATGGAAACTTAATTTGGGTGATTGGGGGTTGGGAGATGATAGTGGTTCAGGGAAAAAGCTCAGCATTAAAACAATTTTTTTTAAAAAAATTAAATCCTGATGTATCCCATAATTACTCCTTATTTAGCCTAGGCATATTTACCTGCCTGGCACATTTATTAAAGATTTCGTGGGATTCTGGAAGCAGACCTTTAATTGGCATTGAATATATCAATTAAAAGGAATAGCTATAATTCTCTTTCCTGATCCATATTACAAGTCGCACCTGGGTTCCTGGATGGGAAAAAAGATGTTGTAATGGTTTCACAGCACTCTGGTTTCTCCAGTGTTATTCTGCTTATCATAGCAATTTACAACCCAGTTGGTTTTATCAATGGGTGTACTCATTTAATTATTATGCTTTGTTAATTCTTTCCACCCAGATAAATTCTTGTCACTGTGATGGCTGCATGCCCACTAAGAAGGGAAGCCGGGAGGCTTGCTTCCAAAACTCTGCTGAATGTTGTATTATTTGACAGTCAAAGATCTGTAAGATCGCTGCTCTTTATTACAATAGCCCATAAGCGGTTCTTTATCAGATGATTGTGCTGCAGGGCCAGTGCTCACATCTGCCATTGTAAGACACTTCCCCGCTGCAGCATTCAGCTTCCCTATGAAAGAGCCAAGCCAAGTCACAAGCCTATCATATCGCTGACGGAGATAGACAGAAGGCGCAGGAGAGGGCCAAAGGAATAGTGTTAAAAAAGAAGACTGTGGTGGCCGCAATTAGATTCTCACTCCAAGACCTAGGAATGTTGCCAGCTTTGGCACTGTGCCCTGTTGTGTCTTTCTGCAAGTCACTTGACTCAATGTCAACGTACAACAGAGGAGTGTTCAAACAGAGGGCAGCATCTAAGTATATATAGTCGCTGGGGCAAAGTTCCAGGCTTATAACATAGTCAATTCCTAGAACCATTCTGGGAAATCAGCGCAGTATTCAATGCAATGCACCACAAATAACCATCCTTTGCATTGGTTATTTGAGGTGCTATGCATTCAATTCTGCTTGGTTGCTTTCCCCTCCAAGCAAATATTCTATTCTTTTCCCTTGGTTTTCCTTCTTTCCAGCTGACACTATAAATTCATAATTTAGCTGTTCGAGGAGGGCATGTAGGCCCATTAAGTCTGTTTCTTTTGAACATACTTTATTCTTTCCTCAGGGCTCCTCCAAAGGATCTTGGGGTGGATGTGGGGGGTCATTGATCCTGTTGTAGTTCCGTTCCTGTCACTTGCCACCTGAGAGGATATGAAATGACCCAAACTTGTCATTTCACATCCTACTCTGTATTCCAGAAAACTCACATGGCCGGGCAATCCATTTTGACTCTTCTGTTAGAGGGGCACTCTGTGAAAAGCAGAAGCCTGGAATGCTTTAACTGCATACCTTTATGGATCTTCGAAAAGAAGAACTTTCTGACTGTTGAAAGCATGCCTGTTTCTGAGGTTCTTCATGCAGAGAGACACAACAGTGGTGATGGAAGTGAAACAGAAGCACAACAGAAAGAAAATTGAGCGAGAGAACAGGAAAGCAGGGAGTGGGGCAGCGAGAGAACAGAAACAAAACGAGACAGAAGAGGCAGGCCGCTTTTCATATCTCCCTGCCATTCAGCAGCTATCCCAACGTTGTCACATTTCTGAGATTATGCAGGACTTCTTCTGTCTTTCAGCCACCACTTGTACTGGCACCAGCACTGCTACAAGATCTGAAAACAAAGGAGCCTAATCTGTCAGCCAGTTAGAAGGAACACCCTTTCCCTTTCAACTGAGATATTTATTTGTCTGCTCAGACTTTCCATATGTTGTAACCATCTTGCTGTGCTGTATAAATTCAGGCCCTTTTAGAGGTGTGGCACCCAACTATTTTAAGTGTACCCTAACTGCAGAAGCTTCAGTCAGAAGTCTGGAAGGGTTAGTAACATCTAAATCAGATGCAAAAGCAACAAAGCTAGCTTTTCTTTCAACCACTGCTTTCATAAATCCCTTTAGTTTTAACCAATTAGTGTTCCAGCCTTCAGTATGTTCTCTAATTTTCTGAATTTCCTGTTTGTGAGTCTCCTTGCACTCTAGGCCCCACATGGGAGCCGTGGTTGAAAGGCTGGAAAATGAGCTTCTCGTAATTATAGAAAATGACTGCCATCACCAAATCTGCTATTCTACTACATTTTGCAGGCAGTAATTTCTACCACAGTGTTGAAACATTATCTGACACAGGAGACAGTGATGATTTTAAAATCTGTTTCTGGCAGCATGGAAACATGCACCTTCAACAGTACACATTCTGGGAGGCACACTAACATGAAGGAGAAATCACTGATGAGCCCTGATATGATCATTCCAGCTTGCATGAGTTTGTAAATTTGTGGATAAGATAAAAAGAAGACCCAATAATACAAGGATGGAGGGAGAGATAGTAACTTGGTGGTAGAGCACAAGTTTCACATGCATAAAAAGGTCCAGTCCCTTGTGTGTCTAGTATTTCCCACCTATTCGTGACTGTAATGAATTAAGATAATCACAAACTTCTCCTCTTGAGCCCATGTTCAACAATCCATCTTTTCACTCACCAGTTCATACTGACCATTGAATACTTAAAATTCCCAAATACAACCATGGGACCATATCTCAACCTGGTAACAAGAACCCAGCTGGCTACTCCTTTTGAAACAGATACTAATTATGATACTGCAGACAAAGAAGAGGCACATATCCTCTTTCTCCTTTCACTTGCCTTTCCTGAAGCATTTTCTGTACTACACATAAAAGCTGCTATAGATGAATCCTGCTCAGTAGACTGCACTATCCAACCGTTGATATTCTCCAGTCATTTCACAATGTAAAGAACGAGAATGACCTCTTGGCAGTCTGCATACTCTGTAATAGGGAATCTTGAGGTTGGATTACTGCAATGCACTCTGTGAGAGACTGCTCTTAACATTGGTTCAGAATCTGCAGCTGGCACAGATGCAATGGCTAGGTTACTCAGTGGGGTGACTTACCATGAGCATGTAACTGTCCTAGTAAAGGAACTGCACCGGGTGCCAAGTTGCCAACAAATGAAGTTTAAGGTTTTGTTGTTGAGTTTATAAAGCCCTAAACAACTTGGGGGACAGCTTTCCTGAGAGAACACCCATCTCCCACAGATCTCTGTTCACAGAGATCACCAGGTGACAACATCCCTTCGGTAACACTGCAGCCCTCTGAAATCTTTCTTGCAACAACCTGGAAGAGAGTTTTTACAGTGGTGGAATCTACTATGTGGAATAGTCTACCCTCAAAAATTCTTCTTCTTCTTTGGCAATCACTCGCAGCCGAGTAAGATTGTCTTCCATAAACATGGTTTTAACAATGAGTCCGTAAGTGACTGTGGAGGCCAATTCTGGATCCACACATCCTTCCACAGTGGGGACATTGGTTTCCGGACGGGAGCTGATCACGGTGTGGATTTGCCAAGCATGCCTTCCTCTTAGCATGTTTCTTCCTTGCGTTCTGATTTCGAATGTCTGCAAAGTCCATGACACCTTTGGTAAAGGCTGTTCTCCAACTGGAGCGCTCACAGGCCAGTGAATAAATAGAGGCTGGAGGAACCTGTTCATCTCCAGATGTTGGACAACTCCTGGACAACTGACCATTGGCCATGTTGGCTAAGATTCATGGGAGTTTTATTTATTTTCATTTAAGGCATTTATATACTCCTTGATCATTAAAATTTCTATGCACTTTCCAACATTTGAATGTCCACAGGTTCATCATTCCTGCTTTATTTGCATGGATTCTATGCTGTCACATAACTGAATTGATTCATGAAGATCACCAGGGAGTGTTAAAATCCAGAGACCTACTTGGGCTTTGGTAATATGTAAAATTGCATGTCAAGGTGCAATTAGGTAATATGTAAAATTATGTGTCAAGTAGCAATTCCAGGGTGTCACACTTCTTCACCACACACTTCTCATGTTTCTTTCCTGTTTGGAAGGCAGTTAAGAACTAATCTCCTTCCGATTGATAACTAAGGATGTAGAGTGTGTTTTTATGCATGGTACTGAAATACTACACATAAATGTAGAATACAGTTGGCTTAACAGCCAAAGACCTGAAAATTAGTTCTTAGTAACATGGATATTGCTAGATTAACTATAGGTTGTTACAGTGGCGATTATGTGGCTTTATTCCCAAATCTTTTACATTGATGACTTGTAAACAGGGAGTTCTTCTTTGCTCTTCAAAGGCTATTAAAGTTCCCCGGAGAGTCTTGTCACATTTGTGTGACGATCATCATCCAAAAAAGCTACTAACAGAAATGCCACAGCAGAGTGTTGAATTCAGCACTTCTTCTGTTCTTCCTGATTAACTTCTCTTATTCTTTGTCACCAGTGAACAACTTCACAAGTTGGAATGTTTACCCTCGTGGTCTTTCTCTAATTCCTAGCAAGCTGGGACTCTTGAAGGGCCTCTGTTTAGATTAAGGTTTTGTATTCTGGTTTTGTCTGACAAATAGCACGGTTATTTTATGTAAATATCGTATGGCAAGTTACCTGAAATGTTTATGGGCAGCAATCGATTGCCATGAAGAGCCACTTGAATATGTAGGGCAAAAAAAGTTAACCAAAGACCTCTTCCAAAATAACCTCCAAGTGGTTAAAGCCACTCCCTGCTCATTTGCAGTCAGTGTTCGAAGCTCCCATTGTTCTAGACATGTTTTGCGACAGGGAATTTCATTAATGCAAGCAGTTTCTGAGCTCTGGGTGCAGTACTGAGCCTAAGATTTCAGATTAAAGCTGCCACTGCTGGAGGAAAAGGTGGACCTTTTTCTGCCTCCTCACTTCAAGCCACTCTCAAGACTGGAGAAGGGACCCAAATAAGAATATTAGGGGAGCGGGCAGGGGAAGTATGGTTTTGTTTTCTGCAGTCTTCAGATGAGGACTAGACCATGTGGAAAATGAACATAAGATTTGCAGCTTTGTATTCTTGCTATAAAAAAGTGCACTTAGACACTCCATTGAGGTGCCCATAACCTTAGGGTGCCATTTAGCTCCTAGCTTTCATATCTCAATTTCTAACACTGTTTACAGTATGTCAGAATTCTGCTGACTTTAGAGCTAGGGCAATACTAAAAGTAAAAACGAGCCTGAGGGGTCCTGAGGGGAGCGACCATAAATTAATCCTCTGAAAAACAGCAAAAAAATAAATAAATGGATGCTTCCCTCAGGACCCAGCTGAAATCTGAAGTGGTGCAATTGGGACATAAATATCAGTCTTCAGGTTCTTCCAGAATTTACAGCTTGCTTTTGCTTAAAAGAAAACAGCTGGGAACTGAGCATCTGGAAACTGAGGCTGTGTCTCAATCCTTGATTTATCTTGGACAGAAGTATTATGAACATGGAAATAAAAGTTATTAGCTGCTCACTATTATTTTTATTTTTATTTTCGAATCCCCACGACAGGGTGAGCGCCCATTGTTCGGTCCCAGCTCCTGCCCACCGAGCAGTTCGAAAGCACATCAAGTGCAAGTTGATAAATAGGTACCACTCCGGCGGGAAGGTAAACGGCGTTTCTGTGCGCTGCTCTGGTTCACCAGAAGTGGCTTAGTCATGCTGGCCACATGACCCAGAAGCTGTCTGTGGACAAATGCCAGCTCCCTCAGCCTATAAAGTGAGATGAGCATGCAACCCCAGAGTCGTTCGCGACTGGACCTAATGGTCAGGGGTACCTTTACCTTTACCTTTTACCTGCTCACTAATACCATAAAAATGCAGTGTGCTAAGCAAAGAGTCTTTTGCTCTATGCTCTGGCCAGGACAACAGGGTCTTGGATCATCCTGGTCAAATCAATTGTTCGAACATCCAGCATTACCAGAATTCCTCAGCAGAGTGACACAATGCAGCAGTTTCTGAAGTACTGAGGTAAAATCTGAGAATTTCCCCTGTCCCATAGAATTCAACTGGAAAGAGGTAAGCCCTTGCTTTGCTTTCCCAGTGAGATCAATGGGAGTCATATGTGCTTAGCTTTTGGCTGAATCACATCCGTCGTTCCTCTATAAAGTCTACACATATTATTCACGTCAACAGCATAACAGTATATAAGTAATGCCTTCTGTTCTAATGTCCTTGTATATACCAATTGATATAAATTAAGATAAATGACAGGAATATTCACACTGAAGTCATGCCATACAAACCTTGGATTAATAAAGATAAAAGAAGATCCAAGTTAACAGTTAGGTCTCCCCCCTCCTTTTCTGATTTGGCCAGGGAAATCAAGATGCTGTAGACGAAAAAGAAATTAGCACTCTTTCATGCTGGAATTTTGTTTAGGCAGATGCATAGATGCAAAGCTTAAAATATCATTGTCAATATTGATGTAGTGTGCTTTGGAACGTATCTCATTTGCTCCACTTGTCCCTCTTGACCCACTAATCTGTATATCCGTAGAATCAAGATAACAGCAGTTTCAACGCAAGGGTAAATAAAATTTGAGGAAAGAACAGAAAAGTCTTGAACTGGCAGAGATCATTTCTCCAGGCATATCCTATTAGGAAGTTCAATAAGCTTGCAGAAGTGATACAGTAGCTGAATCTATTCTTCCGCTGCAATGTGCTGGACTAGAAAATGTTTCTACAATACTGGGTCAGTCGTAGTAACACATTGACATGCTCTGTCCCCATTACTACATATCCCCCAGCTGTTGTAGTATTTGTTCTTACAAATTAGTTAAATAGGAGCTGACAAATCAAATTGCATTAATGCATCAGGCCTGTTCCACCAATCGCCAGTGTGTGTTTGTGGATTTGCTTACAGGCATGAGTAGAACTGGTTCACACAGATCAAATCGTTTATTTTCAACTCTCTTGTGATGTGTGTGTTTTACCGAAGGAGGGGAAGATGTTGATTGTAACCTACTATTGCCAGTGCCCTGCATCAGCTCAAAGGCCACCCAGAAAGAACTGTAATGATAAGATAAAAGTAGGGTAGAATCTCCAAACAAATAATCTGGAGAGCCTAATTTGAGGTTTTAAATTCCTGTTTCGTCAGACAAACATTGATTGGACTTTCTGATCTATTGTGTATATATACAGACCTCACAAATCAGTCCTTTGGTGTGACAAGAATATGTATTTTATAAGGAGTTGCGGCATTCAACTTCCTATATGACTAAATAAACCATTGAAGAAAATGTTCCAACTATTTGGCTTTGCTATCACTTTCTGCTTGCTCCAACACCTTTCTGCTGTAGGATTATGGTACAGTCTCTGAATGTAAAGTAATGCAATTTGATCCAGCTTCTTTTTCTCTATTTTTCCTTTAGCTGGCTGTGTTAATTTAATCTGACATTGTGGAACATGGTGTTTCTCAAATGCTAAAGCAATGCAAATATTGCAATATTTCTGCAATCTAGGTGTGAAGGACAATGAAACAGTGAAATTAAGCAAAATATTTAGGCTTTTGCCACATATTTCTCCTTTTAGAATAAAGTTCACAACAGAAATAAGAAATAAGGTGCCGTTCAGGTGTTAGTTGCTTGTCCCACAGTTCTGGTGCAGTGTTTATAGAACTTCTAAATAAGGCTTGGTATAATTAGCCATTATTTTTCTATTCTAGGTATAGTATTTTACTAGGAGCATCTCTATACAGTGGTACCTCGGGTTAAGTACTGGAGGTCCGTTCTGGAGGTCCGTTCTTAACCTGAAACTGTTCTTAACCTGAAGCACCACTTTAGCTAATGGGGCCTCTTCCTGCTGCAGCACGGCCGGAGCACAATTTCTGTTCTTATCCTGAAGCAAAGTTCTTAACCTGGAGCACTATTTCTGGGTTAGCGGAGTCTGTAACCTGAAGCATATGTAACCCGAGGTACCACTGTATAGGCAGATGTTACGCTGTAGTTTCCATTGCAACCATTTTCATAATATTAGAACTCATTTATTGTTGGAGGATTCAGGGCAGATAAAAGAACGTACTTCTTCATGCAGTGCAGTTAAACTATGGAACTCGCTCTTGCAACAGGCAATGATGGCTGGGTGGCTTTAGAAGAGAATTGGACAAATTCATGGAGGAGAATGCTATTGAAAGCTATTAGCCCAGATGACTAAGCCCTGCCTCCACAGTTCGAGGCAGTAATGCTTCTGAATAGCAGTTGCTGGAAACCGCAGGAGAAAAGAGTGCTGTTGTGCTCAAATTCTGCTTGTGGGTTTGCCAATGTGAGAACAACAAAAA